ATTTTTTTTTATTTTTTTTTAAACAAAAAAAAAAAAAAAAAGAGTAAAATATTTAAACAGAACTTAAATTTAACTTGAAAAATTTCTTTCTCTCTATCTTCTTTTGTGTGCGTGTGTGTGTGTGAGAGAGAGAGAGAGAGTTAACTTCAATATAGAATCATCACCTTGAATAAAATCATTTACACATAAACATAGGACTTCATCCTGTAAAAAGTAAATAAACTACCTATACAAATATAAATGGCTTCATTCTAGATGATAAATTTTTACCATGTAATATTTTTTAATAAAAAAAAATGTGAATAGCCAAAAAACTGAAGAATAATTTATGGAAAGCAAACAAATATATATTCAATTTCAAGGCAAACTCGTTATTGTTTTATTGTAGTAGTCTTAGTTTGGTTAGGTCCGCATGACGAGTAGTCCCTAAGCACATCACAATGAAATCCCATCACTGCATTCCACAGAACTTTCTCATACAGACACAGAAGGCTTCCTTCTGGAGCAACAATAATGTCAACTTACTTGGTTGACACTTGTCTCCAAATTTTCATGTCCTTTGACTAGTGACTCCTCAATCTTCATCAATTGTTTTCCTTAAATTTTTAGACGCTGTTTAGAAAGAAAAAAAAATTAAGTAGGAATTTGTGAAGAGAAGTTAAAAAAAAAAAAAAAAAATTATTATTTTACATGAAAGATGATCATTTTTAACATTTTCTTTATTGTTTAGCAGTTGATTCAAATATTACAACTAATATAGCTAGTCATTATTATTAGTTGTAATTAACTACTGGATGGTGGCTACATAAAAAAAAAAAACGTTAGAGAATACGGATCCGCTTTACACACTTTATCAATTTTTTTAAACTTTTCTCTTCACAAAATTATTTCCAAATTCGTAATTCAAATACAAGTTTCTACTTTACAACTATTTCTAGAAACAAGTTTTACTAGGTTGGACTCAAGAGTTAGCTCTACAAATTCATAACTTCAAATTAAATTTGACCATAATGCTAGAATGATCATATTTATATTTTATAAATATTTATCCTTTTAAGTGTTATCATTGTTGTCACAACCCAATCCTAGGGGTTAGGAATGGCAACGGGCGGGGCGGGGCCAGGAATCACACTCCCCGTCGGCAAAAATTTTCCCGGCCCGGCCCCGATCCCTGACTAGGAAACTATCACCACCCCTGCCCCCGTCCCCTAATGGGAATCGGGTTTCCCTAACCCTAAAAACTCCTCAGTCCAAAAAAAAATTGGCAGATGATCAACAACATCATACATCAAGAACAGATGATCTGTTACAGATCATGTATACTTACACAACAATAGATCAACAAAATCATTATACACAATAGATCAAAGAAAGAAAAATCAGAGAGATGAGAAAGGCGCCGGAGTTCGACAACGAAGGGAAAGGGCGTCGCCGTGATGTTCTTGAGCAGGGAGATCGGCGACAGCGAGATAGGAAAGATCAATGAGATCAGCGAGATCTGGAAGGAGGAAGAGGACAGCGGAGGAACCGCCGCCACTGCCATTGGCGAGATCGAAGATCGGCGAAATAGGAGGAGGGAGAGGATGTCGGAGAAGCCGCTGCCACCACCATTGGTGAGATTGGAGATCGGAGATCTGCGAGATGGGAGGAGGGAGAGGACAGCGGAGGAGTCGCTACCACCGCCGACACCGACGCCGTGAGGAGAACCTGCACAGAGAGAGAGAGAGAGATAGATAGAGAGAGAGAGGCGAAACAGTTTGTGTATGTGTGTGAGTGAGTGTGTTTAACCAAACCCTAACACATACGCATATATTATATATATAAACAGGGGCAAACTAGTAATTTCACGTCGGGGGGCAAGTGGGACGGGGATCGGGGTCGGGCTGAGTCCGGGACTGAAACACGCATCCCCGTCCCTTACGCGAATTTCATCAAGGATTCAATTTTTAATACCATCCCCGGCCCGTCGGGGGTATTTTTCGAGGAATAACCGCTCAATTCGAGGTCAGGGGATCGGGTCCCCGTCGGGCTGGGTTCCGATTGCCATCTCTACCAAAGGCTTAAGGTTGGAATCGCAACTTACTAACTTTTTTTTATTTGTAGCAAATTAAACTGCACAAGCAAAAATAAAAATAATTAAACAGGAAATTACTCCATTTTACTATTTTAATAAAAGAAAATACATTTATAGGACTTTTATTATTTTATTATTCAGTGACTGGACCCGAGTAGAACAAAAGGGAGCAAAAATAAAAAAAAAAGAAAAACAAAGAAAAACAAAATAGTGGTTTAACATCAATTCACGTGCGGGTTCCATTTCGTGAGATTATGGGTTTTCCCTTATATCTCGTCACCTGAAATGGTAATAGTTAAAAGCACACAGCAGAGTGAGAAATATTATGCCAAGAGTATAGGGAATACAAAATAATTATGGATAGTTAGTTAAGTCAAAATATTTACATAACTCAATTTGGTAAATAAATCACTTAAGTGGTAGAAACTGAAATACAGAAATTATATAAATAAATAACCATAACCACGGTACAAAACAGAATAGAACAGAGGTCACAAAAGTGATAATCAGAACAGAGGTCAATAGATCTATGACAAACAGAGGACCACAAAGTGGCCAAACATAGGACAATAGTTATTTAAATCTCCGAACGTGTGGGACTCAGGTGGTAGTACTTACAAAATATAATTGTTTATAAGGTTATAGTCAAATATTCTTCAAAATTTAAACAAACATATCCATGGGTAATAGAGTTCTAAAATTAATCCACGTAACTGAAATATTTCTAAAACATAACTTGAATTAATATAACTTGTATAAAATAAATTATGGTAAATCAAAATATACGTAAAATATATTA